ACAGACAGACAGACAGACAGACAGACAGACAGACAGACAGACAGACAGACAGACAGACAGGCCGAATCGGATCTGACTCTCTCCTTCGGACTAAAGCAGATCTTCAGAGATGCTGAAAAATCAAAACTTTGGAAGTTTTTTACTGGAAGTAAGGGACCTGACTGGAGTTTCTTACCAACCTGGGTAAATGCTTCCTCAGTGCTTAACCTGACAGTCCACACCTCCAGGTAAAAGCTGAATGTTTTGACTAGTGGACCGGAGTTCGGGCTGACGCGTCAGAGAGACCCAAGTGTTCATTCTGGTTTTCTCCATATTGATAAGTTAAAACGTTAGAACTAGCATTCCTCCTTTCTTTCCATCTCTTAAACTTAAACCTTGCCATCTAAGTTTAATGTACCTGCAAACATGTGGTTTATTAAGACCTTAAACCTGAAGTTCTGCTGATTCTGTTAGAGTTGTCATATCGACATTAATTAGTGCGGACGCGTGCCTGTTTTTGTTGACATTTTAACTCAACAAAATTTGATTGTTCACAAAAAGATGTATATAAATGGTTTATTTGGATTCTATAAATAAATGATTTTGTTTACGGCCAGATCAACTTGAATTCCCTGACTAAAGTCTGACTTATTTGTGTATCCTCATATTTACACAGAAAGGGTGTTTATTTCATTAAACAGAGGAACCTGTGATTTTCCTTAAAACAGTGGTTATAAGTAGCGTAGCTGTACCAATCCTTACAGAGTCGCACATCAGTGAAGTTTATTTGAAGGAGGTCATGGAGAAATTGAAGCTAAAGACCAAAGTCTTCCTCAGCCAGAGGAAGAATAAAACAGTCCAACAAACTAGTGCTCATATATAGCTTAGATATAAAATAAATAGTTTCTTAGAAACTAGAGTTACCGCACTTCAGGTTTTCATGCAGTCAATTCATTGTTACAACTTTGAGCTGAATTTAGTTTTTACAAAGTGTGAATATTTTACATGAAATAACAGAATTAGATGTGTTAATTAGTTCATTATTACTGAGTTAACTTCTGATACCTGAGGGTACAAAAGGATTTACACACAAAACCAATCTCAGCTAACTTTAAGTATTAACCTTTGATGAAGGGTTTATATAAATATAAATAYATAAAATCATAATAATCAATCCACGTCCTTACAGTCCATCACTGTCATATTCAGCTGTTTGTGAGGACGGCTCCAAGTCTTTATCCAGTGTTTGTCCTCCTGAGGTTAGGTTTTGGGAACAAAATAAAATGTTTTCCCTTTAATTGTTCAGAATAATGTGTGTGAAAGGCACGATTCATCACTGATATTTAGCTAATTTTTCTAGAAGATGTTTCACAAAAYGATGTAATATGAGTTGTGGAGTTCCTCAGGGTTCTGTGGTTGGAGCAAAACTATTTATTTTAAAAGTGGATGATTTGGTCAATGTGTCAAAGTTTTTAAAATGTATTCTGTTTGCTGATGACACACTTTGTTTATCCTGGTGAAAATACTGAACAGATGTTGGAGGTGATACAGACTTTAGAAAGGTACAAACTTGGTTTCAGCTAATAAATGATCATCAAAGTTTCATTTATTATTGATGAAGTAGAAATTTGTAGTCAGTGAAATAACATTTTTGGGTGTTATTGATGAAAAGCTGACATGGAAATCTCATCGTTACTTAAGAATAAAAAGCAAAATCAATTGCATTGCTTTATAAAGTAAAGTTATTAAATGATAAAGCTCTGTATATATTGTATAATACAAGGATTGCTCCACATTTAATTTATTGTATTGAAGTTTGGGGAAAAGCGTGTTACAAATCCTATTTTTATTTTACAACAAAGAGCTGTACGATTTATTAGTAGGAGGAGCTATGGTCACCCAACAGATATATTGTTTCATCAGTTGAAATTGTAAGCTCATAAAAAATATTGCCTTCAAATAATCAATTAAAATTTGTTAAGAGAGAACGTCCCTATGGCCTTAGGGGATTGAGATTTTTGTCTGAAGGAGCGCCGCTGTAAGTCAGGGTTGAACATGTGGCACATTTTGTCTTCCCTAAATTCAGTTTGGAATTTTACTTGCAGAATCTGAATGCCTAAAAGATAAATAGAAAAATTAGCATATTCTGCAAAAGTATGGTGTGAATGCTGAGTCCTGAATGACTTGTTAAAGAAACTGAATTACTATTTTTAGCAGTAGCTAAAAGCTAAAAGTAGCACAGGATGACACACAGCAAGTACCTCAGTGTTTCTGTTTTTAATATCTATTTATGCACCTTTTTATTTTTTTTATTTTATTTAACATTTATTTAACCAGGTATTTCATTGAGATTAAAAATCTCTCTTTCAAGAGAGAGCTGGCCAAGAATGATGTTAGCGGACAGACATTACCAAATCCAAAACCACAGATAATAAAGTACAATTAAATACATCATGATTAAAAAAGAAAAACAAGAGGAAATAAAATAGAAAATAGAGTAAATAAATTACAAAATCTGTTAAAAACATTTACATCAAGCTAAATGCTTTGATATTTGAAAGTGACACAAAGTGAAACACAGACCAGGAAAACAATAGTRTGAAAACTGACTCAGCGTTCACTCTGTTAACAGAATGTGATAAATTAGATTAAATTTAACGTATTTTAAAGCATTTGTTAAGGATTTTAATGCTAATCCTGCTAATGCGCTCCTTATTTTCACGGTGGAGGACTTCCTGTCCGAGTGGCTGTGTCCACTCTGCGTGCTGACGGTGCACTTTGCTGCAGCTGCTTCTATTAAAGTCTAAAGAAAGAGCAGAGCTGCAGGCAGTTTTTCTTCTCCCAGAAGAGTCTCTGCAGCACATCGATTTCCTCGTAGTTCACGCAGTGACTGATTGCTGACTTTCCTCTCATGCCTCGTGTCCAGCCAGCGCAGCATCCATCAGAAGAAGGCCAGACCCCGGAGTTTGTGAGGGCCGGGCCAATTAAAACGTATTGCACGCGTCAGTTAGAATTTATGACCTGGGACAGGGAAGTGGAGCTGTTTTCCACATGACCGATCAATGCTAAGTAATCCCCACTTTACTTTGTGTTGCAGAGCGCAGAGCAGAAGTCCTTTTCTCARCTCTGAAGCAAGAAGGGAATGAATTTGTGAAGAAGGGCCAATACCAGGAAGCTCTGGGGAAGTACACAGAAAGCCTTAAGTTAAAGCCAAAGGAGTGTGCCGTCTACACCAACAGGTTGGAGGCCTCAGCTACAGCAACACAAACACTCCTGTCATCTCACTTTCTGTCCACTCTTTAAAGCCGACACTCTGTTTCTGCTGCCTCTAATGTTTTATTTATAACAGCCTGAAAGTTGTTGTTGTTCGTTCAGAGTTTTGTGTTGTCAATAAGACAGAGGTGAGGGTCTCTGGAAGCGCCACTKAAACCCCTTTCCTTTGACCACACTTCCTCAGTTTTAGTCTCCTGCACCGGCTGCCTTTTTAAATTCTTCTGTTTACCTTGATAGCTCTTAATGGCCCCGCCCCGCCCTGTCTGCTGCATCCCTACAAACCCTCACGACCCCTCGGGTCAGCTGATCAGCTGCTCCTGTGTGTCCAGGAGGCTCGTCTCAAAACGTCATTTGTAATTTAGATTGTTTTTTAATTATCTAGTTTTTTATGGACTATGACTGAATGAATGTTTTATTATGTGAACAGAACTTAGGTCCTGTGTGTGTTTAAAGTGCTCTGTAACAAAGCTGGTATGGTGTGGTAACTCATAAGAGCTGTTGGTGAAAAGCAGGCAAAGCTTCCAACCATCTGAATCACCCTACAGCAGGTGAAGGAGGTGCAGCAGGACGGTTCAGCTTAGACCCCCCCCCCACACACACACACACACACACACACATACACACACCTCTTTCTATTGAAGGCAGACTGTTGAGTAATAGGAAGCTGACGCCATGATGAAAAGTCACACATTGTGTGCTGCTGTTTGCTGATGTGAGTGAGAACACTTTGTCTGTCTGTACAGCCACACCACAGCAAACACCACACCTCCACACAGCTGCTCAGGAAAATAAACCTCTCCCCACCGCA